AGAATTGGGAAAGGAAGAGGGGATCACGGTCACTGATAATGTTTTTGGGGAGACCGTAATGGCGTGCGACATGATCGAACAAGAGTGTGGCGACGTCTTTGGCATTGTGAGAAGTGGTGCAAGGGATGAAATGGGCCCGCTTGGTCAAGCGGCAGACAATGACGTAGATGCAGTCAGAGCCACGGTCGGTCATGGGACCGCACACGAAGTCCATAGAGATGGACTGCCACCTATGGGTGGGGATAGGCAATGATTGGAGCTTGCCAGGCTTGGCCTGGTTTGAGGGGTTGACTGCTTGACAAGTGGGGCATGATCGGATGTATGCTTTGACGTCGAGGAGGAGTGAGGGTCAGTAGAAGTAGTGAGAGACGGTGTCGAATGTCTTCTAGAAACCAAGGTGTCCTGCGGTCTTGGGGTCGTGGTGCTCGACGAAGAGTTGGGTACGAAGACCACGTGCAGAGTCCGCGAGTGCTTTTATTGTTAATGTACAAGAGGTTGTCGTGGAGGGAGTAGTCGGGAATAGTGTCAAGATCACGAAGCTTGTTGTAGATGGTAGAGAAATCGGGGCATGAAGAGTATGCGTGAGTATAGCGGTGGTGGAGTGAAGGTAGGAGTTGAACATGAGTCATGGCGGCGTAGACTTTCTCAGGGGGCTTGTAGTCGGGTCGTCGAGAGAGGGCATCAGCAGCGCGATTGCTTTTGTCGGGGGTGTGGTAGATGGTGAATGTAAACTGGGCGAGAAAATCCAACCATCGGGCTTTGCGAGGTGTGATATCTTCCTTGGAGAATATGGTTGAGACGATGGTGTTGTCGGTACGGATAGTGAAGTACTGACCGTCGATGTATGGGCGCCAAACTTTGACAACATGGATGATGGTGAGGAGTTCCTTCTCATTGGAGGGGTAGTTCATCTTCGCTGGGATGAGCTTCTTGCTCGCAAATGCGATAGGGTACTCACCGGGTGGAGCCTAGGAGTGGGTGGGGGAATCCTTGATGGTGGGGGGGTCCAGGATGTCATGGGGAGGACAGCTCCAATAGCAAAGTCTGAGGCGTTGGTGGTAACATAGAAGTGTCAAGAGAGGTCAGCAACCTTGAGGATAGGGGCTGTGGTAATGACTTGTTTGAGGAGGTCGAAGACGGCTTGACGACGTTCGTTCCATGCAAAAGGCTCATTCTTGTGGGTGAGCTTGTAGAGGGGGTAGGATATTTCGGAAAAGTCGCGGATGAAGGGGTGGTAGCAGTTGGCAAGACCAAGGAAGGAACAAAAATGCGGCAAGGTCGTTGGTGGAGAAAACTCGGACGGTGACCTTCGAGAGGCCCATGTGGATGCCATCAACGGATACAATGTGGCCGAGGTATTCTACGCTTGAGGCAGCAAAAGTGCATTTGCTGAGTTTGGTGTTGAGACTCGACGGTGGGACTGAAGACGAGGATATCATCAATATAGACGACAACACAAACTTCGAGTAGGTCGCGAAAGATGTGATTCATAGTAGACTAGAAGGTCGCTGGGGCATTTGTGAGGCCGAAAGGCATCACCAGGAACTCATGATGCCGGACGCGAGAGCGGAAGGTAGTCTTATGTTATGAACATGATTGCCTGTTGAAATTTTTATCAACACTCACTCACTGAAACTCCCGTACACGCCCATCCATGCACAAAAGGAAGCGAAGAGGTAGTGGAGTACCACACCGCCCAACATAAAGAAACGCAGCAGAAGACTCAGAGGAGCGAAGTGACAGAATACACAAACTGTGAATTCTCTCCACACAAATCCCAACAATCATTCATAGAAGACAACCGAGTGATCACAGCCAGAAAGAAATGAAGAGATGGCAACTCGAACACAGTCTTATAACTGTTTATTAAACTCAGAGCATCGTTTTCACTGAATGACCCCAGAACCCTGTTGCGCTACCCTCAGAGGGGTAGCGCCTCAACCCCAACGCCCTGAACAACTAAATATAGCACTGAAACCCCAGGTAACACCCAGCGCCACCCTGACATCCAACTCAGTGGCCTGCGCCCAAGTGAAACAGGCTCCCAGAGCCAATCGCCATCCAGATGATGAAGAAGAAGCTCAGGGCCAACAATCCCTGATGAAGATGAAGTCCAGACGATGATAATCTCTGAGAAGATGCAGCTATGGCTGCATCGCCACTGGGACCCTACTCCTGAGGAGGGTCAGTAGTGCACCACGTGCTCCAAC